TCTTTGCAGATGTGATAATATCTTTTTAGGGAGGTTGACAAGAAGAGAGTTGCTGTAGTCGAGGCAGCTGATGATAAGAGCTTGCACAAGAAGTTTGATGGTGTCCAAGGTCATGAGATATCTGATTTTTCCAATATTGTGCATATGGAAATAGCAGCTTCTGCACACAGAGCTGACATGCTCTTCCATGGTCATGGTTGACTGGAAAATAACTCCAAGATTTCTGGCCTTTGGGGTGTCACTGACAGAACATGCTCCAACATTAATAGAAGGCTTAGACTTCAGTTTTGCAAGCTGATGGCGAGTGCCCAGTGTTAGGAACTCTGTTTTCTCATCGTTGAGTTTCAGGTAGTTAGAACTCATCCATGACCGGATATCTACAAGGCAGGCTTCAACTGTTTTGATGGCATTTCCTACAGCAGCTGGGGCAATTGAGAGGTACAGGGGTGAAAACAACCCATTGCCCGACATCCCAGTCCAGTTGTTTTTTTTTCTGTCGGGCAAGCAAATTCCTATATCACGCTGTACCGGTGTCCAGTTGACTTTCCAATGTTAATTATGTTGTTGGTTGTCGTCAGCATAAAGATGGAAGTGCAGTGAATGGGTCCTGATGATCTGACCAAGAGGCAGGATATATACACTGAATAGCAGTGGACCCAGAACAGATCCCTGTGGGACGCCATACTCGACGTTGTGTGTCTGGGATAATGTCTCACCAATCCTGACTGTGTACGATCTGACAAGTAAGATTGAATCGACAAGAGAGATGTTCCTGAGATACCCAAATTCTCAAGTCTTTGAAACAGAACACCATGGTCGATAGTGTCGAATGCTAATGAAAGATCAAGCAAGACGAACAACGTTATTTGTTTCCTGTCCATAGCTTCTAAGACGTCATTGTAGACACGCGGACCAAAGCTGTGTCAGTGCTGTGGCTAGTCTTGTATGCTGACTGGAAAGATTCCTGAAGATTATGTTCCACAAGGTGTGTTTTAATCCTAGAAGCAGCAGCCTGTTCAAGACACTTTGAGAGAAATGGGAGGTTCGAGACTGGCCGATAGTTTTTCAGGATATTAGTGTCAAGACTTGATATCTTGAGAATTGGTATGACATGAGCGTGTTTGAAGGCGGATGGAACACTGCCTGTGTCCAGTGACATATTGATGATGTCAAGGTAGCACGGCGCCAAAGCATCACTAGTCGCTTTCGCAAGCCATGTAGGGATAGTGTCCAGAGGAGAAGACTTTGATGGAGAATCTTTAATGATCCGACGAACCTCAGCCAAAGAAGCTGGTGTTAAGTGTTTCAGTGGCTTACCCTGAAACGTCTGTTCAAATTCATGAAGTATCGTTGTATTTGGCTGGATGTTGGCTCTAACGTTTTTGATTTTGTCACTGAAGAAAGATGCAAACCTGTTGGCAAGTTCAAGTTCATCTGTGTTAGAAGGGAGCTTCTGTTCGTGGGAACCGTGTAGAAGTTTACCAAAAAGAGTGTGCAGCTCCTTATAGATGTGCTAATTATGAGTTATAGTGTTTTGGACAAACGCTGCCTTTGCTGAAGCTAGCGAGGAATCCAATTCATTACAAGCTTGTTTATACAGTTGCCGATGCACTTCAAGTTTGCTTTTCCTCACGACTTTTTCCGCTTTACGACAATGAATTTTCTTTACCCTGACATCATCATTGTACCACTGAGTATTTGGCCTAACAACAAAAGTTCTTTTTTCCTTAGGTACATGTTTTTCAAGTATGTTGGTAAGAGAAGTTTCAAGTCGTGAGACTTTTAATTCGACATCACCCACAGTGCAGTAATCAATATTAATTGTTATGTCCACGGAGAACTCATTATGTTCCTGGTTTTCCTGTAGGTGGCAGATTTAAGATGATGGCCAGGTTTGCAGGTGTTGAGAGTACAGTTTATAGTAAAGTGATCAGAGATAAACCTGTTAGTTACATCAATGACTTGGAGGAAGGTATAAGAATCACGGGTTATGATGAGGTCCAGAGTATGACCACATCTGTGAGTGGGTTCTGTAACCAGTTGGCGAAGATTGTACAATGTAAGCAGCTCTTTAAAACGCTGTGCATGGGAATTTGGATCCACATCAACCTGAATATTGAAATCGCCAAGAATTACTAGATGACCTTCATCTGTCGTAACTTGTTCCAAAACATCAGAGAACTCATTGAGGAAGTCATCAAATGTGACCTTATGTTTTCTTGATATTGGAGGGCGATAAATACAAATCATCCGCACAAAGTCATTCATCAGATTGAAAGTTGAATAAAATCAAAGGTTTTCCTTGACTTGATGTCAATAAGGTTAGATTTGAGAGAGCTTTTAAAAAGTACTGCAACACCTCCTCCACTCCCGACGAGTCTGTTTGCCTGTAAGATGTCATACCCTTCCGGAAGAAGCTCAGCCAATACAGACTGATCACGATCTTTGAGACATGTCTCTGTCAGCACAAAAATGTCATAATCGTGCTCAAGTATTTGGGCCATGCAAAGTAAGTGACTTGTTTCGGACAGATTGTGCATTTAGGAAGGAGAGGTTAAAAGTTTGTTGTTTAGAATTTCCACTGTAGTTTTCTTTGGCAGTGGGTTTAGGATAACGTAAGCACTTACCTCCTCTTGATCCATGCTTAGAACAACACACATTGGCAATTCCGAGTTGTTTGAGATGTTTCCATAGTCCTGGTTGAATATATCTCGTGGTATTTAGTTTGAACACCTTACGCTCTCCACATGTATAGGTGTGATAAGGTAAGCCGTCAGTGGCCACACTGGCCATTGTTTCACAACAATAGGCAAGTCCCTGGCTGGTGAGTGATCCCAAGCTGGCTTCAAAATTTCTCCACACAACAATGCAGGAAACCACCAAAGTAAATCCAAATATCCTTTTCTTCAGAATTGAAAGAGATCAATGGAATTTGGTCATGATTTGCAGCATATCATGCTGCACATGCTGTTCAAATTTTGTGGTTATATGATACCAAGAAACCTGACAATTTGTTGAAAATGTGAGAGCCTCAAACACTGCTGCTAGCCTGCACGGGCTTGGACAATCTTCCATGTTGGATGACTGATATTATAACTGATGACTGATATTAATTTTTTTTTGAAAGAACCAAAGGGATATAAATCATCATGTACATCCACTTTTAATTTGGGGGTAACCATGCAGTGTTTCCACTGGGTTTTTTTAACAGCCGGTCACCGTGTCCGACGACCTCCTGGCACAAAATCTGCCCGTCACAAAATATGATAAAAACAGACGATGAAATTGAATAAAAGAATTTATTCACCAATTACAGCTTTCTCTTTTTCTTTCTAAACAATCGGATAGCATCATGGTTGTCCATGACATCAGTAATTATAGTGACGTTTCGAGGCTTCAAATACATTGATCATTTCCAAATAACTGTCCCAAATTTACCAATCCCATTGCGCGTAGCATAATGGATTTAGAAGGAAACCTCATCTCACACGAAAATCATAAGTGATTGATTCTATTATTATAGTATTAGGCTCTGTCCGTACGTACGTACGGAATTGGAATATCTTAAGAACCGTTGACTGAATTCTTTTCATATTTGGTACCTAGGTTCATCACAGTAAAAGAAAGGTCCCAGTCAGGTTTGGTGACCTTGACCTTCATTTCAAGGTCACAAGGGGACTTTAACGTTTTACCCTTGTCAGCGAGATATCTCAAGAATTGTTGACTGGATTTTCTTCATATTCAACACCAAGCTTTATCTAGGGAAGGCCCAGGGCCCAGTCATTTTTGGTGACCTTCACCTAATTTTCAAGGTCATGGTGACACTCTGAAGATTTCACTATGTTAAGCTGCATGTTAAGCTTGTCAGCGAGATACCTCAAGAACCGTTCACTGGATTTTCTTCATATTCAACATCAAGCTTTATCGAGGGAAGGCGCAGGGCCCAGCCGATTTTGGTGACCTTCACTTAATTTTCAAGGTCACGGTGACACTGAAGATTTCAGCATGTTAACCTGCATGTAAAGATTGTCTGCAAGATATCTCAAGAACCATTCACTGGATTTTCTTCATTTTTGTCACCAAGCTTCATCTAGGGAAGGTGCAAGTTCCAGTCGATTTTGGTGACCTTCACATAATTTTCAAGGTCATGGCGCACTTTGAAGATTTCAGCATCTTCATATTTGGATTTTCTTCATATTGGACACCAAGCTTCATCTAGGGAAGGTGCAAGTTCCAGTCGATTTTGGTGACCTTCACATAATTTTCAAGGTAAAGGCAACACTTTGAAGATTTCAGCATCTTAAACTGCATGTTAAGATTGTCAGCGAGATATCTCAAGAACAGTTCTCTGGATTTTCATCATAGATTTTCAAGACTTCCCTTGAATGTTTTTCAATAAGGAATTTCTTTATTACTCATTTTGCATATTTCATACACTAAGACATTACTTTTTAAGTTTGATTTGATAATTTGCGGCGGGGGATTATGTCACCTTAGTGACAATGCTTGTTAGAGGATTATTTTAGCGATTTTATTTTAATTTTGGTAACATTTTAAGTAGGACAAAATGTAGTTTTGGTACTTAACCGGACACAGTGACCGATAGCCTCCAAATCTATCCGTCCTGGGCAATTTTTACCAGCCAAAATCCGGAATATACTGGTGAACGGAAACACTGCCATGGTAATTGTAAAGTCTGAACGTGTATGAGAATTGTTAATTATTTGTACTGTGTTTTAACTAAAGTCAACAAATTTGCAGTTTGCATCCCTGATTCTGTTTAGTTTTCAAGTTTATTGTTTATGTGTTGCTGTTTTCCAGCCAAGACAGCAGATGAGGTGCTGAAACGATATCTCAAGGTGGAACCCAAACCCCCGAATGAGGTAAATACAGCTTGTCTTCATAACTTCAATACCTTGTATTAAGCAAATCAGGACACAACATAGTCATTGTATTCAATCATTCTCTTGTTGACCTGACAGAAAGTCATGTGTGATTGTGTTGTGACCAGGCCCCGATTTCTCAAAACAAACTTAAGTCTGACTTTTGACTTAAGTTCAAAGTTTTACTCAAATTTGAGAAAATGCATTTCCCAGAATGAACTGAAATCGATATTGAACTCAAACATAGCAGACAACTTGAGTTTGGCGAATAGAATACTTAAGTATTTTGGGCTTTTTTATTAAAAAAATGCAGCTGAGTTCAAAATTCAGCTGTTTCAAATTGTCAAACTCAGTTTGAAATTTGAGTAAAAACTTAAGTTTGTTTCGAGAAATCGGGGCCTGTTTGTGCAGCATCTGTTGTGCATAGATTATTCAGTCGTTAAGTGAGTGAGTTAGTTTAGGTTTTTGTCGCACTCAGCAATATTCCAGCTATATGGCGGCCAGTTGTTAAGATAGCAGCAGGGAAGCGTAATGGTTAAAGCGTCAGCTCGTCGATTCCCCACATGGGTACAATGTTTGAAGCCCATTTCTGGTGTCCCACGCCGTGATATTGCTGGAATGTTGCTAAAAACGGCGTTTAACCTTACTCACTCTCTCACACGTGAACATCCTTTCAGAAATCATCAGACCAATGAGTAGACATGAACATCACATGGGTGTTCCCACTAATGCCGAAAGTTGTTCATGAGCTGTATATCCCATTTTCAAAATGGTGGCCACACCAGCCATAATGAAAGGAAACTATTTATGACCAATTATAGACGATCATAAATTCGTTCGAAGGCATATTGTTTGTAACCTTAAAATGACTTTGCATTTTGATCATATCATTCAATTTTGGTGTTAGTTTTCATTCCTTAGTATTCATGCTGAAAATATTTCAGTATCAGTTTAATGGCAGGCATTGCTGATTTAGAAAAAAGCACAAGAGATAAAAATTAGGTCTTCAGCAACCCATGCTTGTCATAGGAGGTGGCTAACGGGATCGGAAGGTCAGGCTCGATGACTTGGTTGACCCATGTCATCATATCCCAATTGTATAGATCAATGCTCATGCTGTTGATCATTGGATTGTCTGGTCCAGATTCAAATATTTACAGACCGCCGCCATATAGCTGGAACATTGGTAAGTGCGTTGTTAAACACCAAACCAAACAAAAGCCGGGATTGGGTGGCGAGGCCTACTATCTGACTTGACAAGTATCAGAGTAACTCAGTAGCATAGATGAATGCAAATTATGTCAATCACCGTATTGTCTGGTTCAGACGAGGTTATTTAGAGATTGCCATCATATAGCTGGAATATTGCTGAGTGTGGCGTAAAATAGGAAACAAACCAGATACCGATGTATAGTCTCTAAAACCAACAATAGAATGATGTTGGTGATGGCTCTCATATTCTGTTTGTATCTGTTATTCAAGTGATTGTTTCAATATTCCAAGAATGTTGTATATGCTGCTGCTGATTAATTATTCCGTTGAGTCTGGTAATCAAGTTTCTCTATTGAAGGACTGTTGTATCTGCTATGATGCCCTGCATGAAGAGTCGACCTATGGAAGCACTGGAGATGAGGACCACCAGGTTGTCGCCCTTGTCAAGTGTACGCACATGTTCCATCGCATGTGTCTTAATGCTATGTACGATAGTGGTCACAAGGTGAGTTGTCTCCCTTTGGAATTCATATCTGTCCCAGTCAGTAAGGGAGTTCCAGGTTAGGGTAGAACTCATGTAACCAGAATGAATCAGTGACAAGGTTGATTTTGCACAGCACAGCCTGATAGTGGTTTATGATATCAGTCTAATCAAGATTTGATTTATATTATGTCACATAAGTGGTAGGGTGAAACGGTATGCTCTTACCGAGGTACAGTTTGTATTGCAGTACAAGGCTTTCGGTTCAGTATAGCTGGTATGTTGCAGGGGGCTGCGGGGTAGCCTAGTGGTTAAAGTGTTCGCTCATCACACTGGAGACCCAGGTTCAATTCCCCACATGAGTACAATGTGTGAAACCCATTTCTGGTGTCCCTTACCGTGATATTGCTGGAATATTGCTAAAAGAGGAGTAAAACTAAACTCACTCTCACTGGTATAGGAGTGTCGTTTGAAAGAACAAATAATAATATTGTACTTGTTTGGAAAATACATCTGTTGAAAGCATGTGAAAGGTGAGTGATGTCAGCTGGAAGTGAATGTGTCTAGGGTATTTTACCTTTTGAACTTACGACGGATGGTGGTACTACAGAATATTTCAGGATAGCTGGTAGTAGTGGTGTTCCAATTATAGAAAATAATCAAAACTCGATCGAAAGGATTAAAAATAATTATCAGTTGTAAAAAACATATTTTTGATTAATCAGAATTTTGTTGTTTTAGTATAAGACACTTGAATGAAGTAAACTAACCATTAAATTTGATGAATATTCACGATAAAACATGCGGTCAACAGTGTAAAGATATGTGCATTGTAAAATTTTAACCAGTTATATTGTTTAGTTACAATTCCAGTGTCTTTCTTCCAGCCATGCATTTCATTACATGACAGTATTAGTTATGAAAAAAACATTAATTAGAATAAAACTGGGGGAAAACCCTTAAAATTGGTGATTACATTAGAAATGTATATATTTCCATTATTATCGATAATTGTTCACCACAAGTCCTCCGATAATCGATAGTGCATTTGGTTTCCGATTCCCAACACTAGCTAGTACGTAGATTTTTTATAATCTCTGTCATAATTTGTACATGTAGATTTATCTATCAGGGGCGGTGGGGTAGCCTAGTGGTTAAAGTATTTGCTCGTCACGCCGAAGACCCAAGTTCGAGTCCCCACAATATTACTAAAGGTGGCGTAAAACCATACTCACTCACTCATTTGTGTATCATGTTATTCAATGCATGAGTAACATGTCATTTTACTCTTTCTACTCTCACTTTGCAGGATGGCAGTATTCAGTGTCCTACGTGCAAGACAATCTATGGTGAACGCCTTGGAAACTGTCCCCCTGGGGAGATGGAGTTCCACCCGATCCCTCACTCCCTCCCCGGCCACCCTGACTGTCAGGCCATCAGAGTTGTGTACACTGTCAACCCAGGTCTACAGGTGAGTCTACCTCTCTCTCTCCCTCCCCCCACCCCAACTGTCAGGCCATCAGAGTTGTGTACACTGTCAGCACTGTCAGCCCAGGTCTACAGGTGAGTCTCTACCTCTCACTCCCCCTCCACCCTGACTGTCAGGCCATCAGAGTTGTGTACACTGTCAACCCAGGTCTACAGGTGAGTTTACCTCTCTCTCCCTCCCCCACCCCAACTGTCAGGCCATCAGAGTTGTGTACACTGTCAGCCCAGGTCTACAGGTGAGTCTCTACCTCTCTCTCCCTTCCCCTCCACCCCGACTGTCAGGCCATCAGAGTTGTGTACACTGTCAGCCCAGGTCTACAGGTGTCTCTACCTCTCATTTCCTCCCCCTCCACCCCCACTGTCAGGCCATCAGAGTTGTGTCAACCAGGGTATACAGGTACCAACCCCTAACCCTTTTCATGTGAAGCCATCATATTTTGTGCTAGTGCTAGCATTCCGTTGTGATTCCAGGGCCCAGAGCATCCTAACCCTGGCAAGAGATACTCGGCTCGTGGATTCCCCAGAGTGGCTTACCTTCCTGACAATGAGAAAGGCAGAAAGGTGAGTGGTACTCTGCTATTTCCTCCATCAGCTGGACATATGCTATTGCTTGTACAAATACCCAAATGGGTTGGAATTCTGGGGTTCATGGAAAGAACAGGGGTTTCTTTCACGAAGCAACCTTTACTAAGGTTAACCTTAACTCTCATTCTAAGAAACTATGAATTCTTATGAATACGTCCCTCCAACACTTGGTTGCCTTATTTCCTGAAACTTGTTTCTGATCCACGTGATCTAAGAAATTTTCTTTCGGATTATGTAATCAGCTTTGAAATTTAGCTATTATGTTGGTAGGTCCTGAAGCTGCTGACTATTGCCTGGCAGAGAAGGCTGATGTTCACCATCGGTGTGTCTACCACTACGGGGGAGAACGATACCGTCACGTGGAATGAAATTCATCATAAAACAGAATTTGGCTCAAATGTCTCTGGGCATGGCTACCCAGACCCGAACTATCTAGACAATGTAACTATGGAGCTGGCAGTGCAAGGTGTTTGTGAAGATGATCTGAACTCTTAGACCCAGTCCTTCACCTTGTAACCTGACCTCAACTCCCAAACGCTCACCTGTGATGTTCCTTATGATAATAAGATATAAGTAGGCCTAGTCGCGTTATTATTACAATTATGGTTGTAATTGTTTTAAGATATATTGTCTCACAATTTCTGTTAAGTGAATAGGTAATACTACTCTCGATAGACTATTTTGACATATAGTGGTTTGTTATGTTGTAAAATTTTATTTTATTTGCTTACCTGAACTATGTGAGCTAATGTAATGGAACGTTAATGGTCTGGGGCCCATTTCTGAAAACAATTGTAGTGCTATGACAGTCGTAACTCCATGCTAATCTTAGCGCTACGACTGTCGTAAGTCTATGCTTAAGTATAGGAGTTACGATCATCTTAGCGCTACGACTGTCGTAAGTCTATGCTAAAGTATAGGAGTTACGATCATCTTAGCGCGACGATCATTTTGTGAAACGGGGCCCAGAATGTGAATCACATTTTCGAATTCTTTGTGTCGACAATTATGCAGCAGCAATGCATAGATGATCCTGAATGCAGCATTGCATCCCATGGGCATGCAGAAACAACATCGTGGGTTCGACTCCAAGATTTGTTCTGTTTACAATTCTAGGTTTGTCATGTGCTTATTGGTTTAATCCAAGTTGATTTGGCACCGATCATCATCGCTTTCCTCCCTCATCAAGCTGACACACCATGATACGACTGAAATCCTTCTCAAAACGTTGTTATTCCACAGTATATCCAGGAATGGCGTCTGTAACGTGTCACAGGTTTCCCATCCAGTTTTAAAAATGTCACATATGCTCCATACTAGGTCATTTCTGCTGGTATCTGTGAGTATATCTTGAAGCTTTTTGCAATGTTTTTGTCATGATTTTCTCAATCCAGTCATGCTAATGTTGCAAATATTCAGGAACTTGTAGGGACGGTGGGGTAGTACGGTGTACTCTGTCTCATGATCAACAACTGAGTGTAAAGGAGCTGTAAACAAACTTTGTGGCCTCTCTTGTACCATTCACCGAAACATGCCCCACTGCTCCGGATCCTGGACATTCTCAGCCTCTGTGAAGCATGCAGCATGCCTTCTGGCTGACCACGTGACACCCCAATCTGATCATTCTCTTTCTTGTCGTGCTGCTGAGCAGATGTGATATAAACTTGAAGTGAATATTCTGGATTACTTTACAATGGGAAAGGATATTATGAAAAAGATGTTATAGATTAATCTTGTACTTTCCGGGAGCCACATCTATTACAACATGTATCTCAGTACATATATTTCATTTTCCATAGGTATTTTAGATATTATCACTGTGTTTTGTGCATCAGAACCCTTCATCCACACACTCTTGATAAAACCGTCACATTGATTGTCACAAACTTTTCACAGTTTTTTCAAACCATGCCTGTGACATATTGACTGTGTATTAACTCCTGATCAAGTAAAGATAAGCTGAACTGAACTGAAAATACTGAATTCAACACCCTTATATGTAACTCCATAACCATGTACCCCCAATCGAAAGAATATTCTTGTAAAATAGAATGTAGTATACACCTTGCAAAATGCAGTAATAAATAGCATTTATTTATTTCGTTTGTATTAAAGAGTGTTTAATTCCTGTGTTTATGTAGTAGCATAAAATATAAAGTGCTTAAATTGATCTGACCATATTTAGTTTCCACGTAGCAAGACATTGTTTTTGGTTTTATGTAGTTATGTGCATGTGTATGTCGTGTTGGTTTAACTGCTGGAGGTAAAATATCATTTGTGAGATGTGAGAAGTGTTTGACCAGAGTATAATAAACAACCAGGGTATATTGAATTCATAAGAAATTGGAATGGCCATGTTTCATATTATGAAATGATTTGTCCAACAATTTTAACTGTTGAGGTTCTTGAGAGGCATATAGAAGTTGGTATTCAAGTAGAAGACAAAATATTATGGATGTCAACTTCTTGTTTATTCTATGCACAACGTTTCTGGGCTTTTCCTTGCCCCTTCAGTCACCTGACGAAGGGGCCCAGAAACGTTGTGTATAGAATAAACAAGAAGTTGACATCCATAATATTTTTGTCTTATATTATTTTAACTGTGTCGAGTTTGAATCTGTGTGTTTTGAGATGAAGGGAATGATTATGACAGATACCACTGGCAATTGTTCATTAAGCAGTATTGTTTATTACGCAAGCGTCCTCGTACTTTAACTATAATAGGGCGAAAGTGTGTTTTATTACACTATACATGGTGGTAGAGCGAACTGAATTTCTTAATTCTACGCAAATGAGTATTTTTCCATTTTGTTGAAAAGACCTGAAACGTTGAGCATGAAAACATTATCAGTTATAAGATTACCATGAATATGATATGATTATATGAATTCAAATATGCCAGCACTCAAGCTGAATATGTTAAGGAACAAATCTGTCATGCATTTGAATTAAAAAGGAGAAAATGGCGAAGGCAGTTACATTATGTTATGCATACTACCAACACTGCTTCAACTTTGAGCTTGTTATGACTGTTCGGAATTGTGGATATGAGTATGAAAGGAACCAGAGCAACAAAGGTACAGAAGCTCACCTGTATTCAGTGATGAAACTTGAATGAAGAGGATGTGCTGAGCCAGCTGTTGATTTTGTCGGGTAGCCTAGTGGTTAAAGTGTTTGCTCATTACGCCGAAGACCCGGGTTCGATTCCCCACATGTGTACAATGTGTGAAGCCCATTTCCGGCCTCCCCTGCCATAATATTGCTAAAAGCGGCGTAAAACTTAAATCACTCATTCACTCCTTTGTTACCCAGATCAGGCAACAACTATCCAAATCAAGGGATGAAGTAATATTTCTGAGTAGACTTTCAGGTGCATGCTAAACAGCCAAAGAAATGATTTCAAATCCCCACTTAGGTAAACGTTGTGATGCATATTTTTGGCTCAGATCACATAAAACCCTATTCAGTGCTCAAAATATGCATGTAAGTCAAGGGGTTCTTGTCGTAACTTATTAAAGTAAAGATTTAGAGGTCCCCAAATTCAACTAACATAGAAGACGTTCGGGACTCCAGGAGTCTTCTGAACTTATGAACAGTGCCATTAAAGATGTCTATAAGTTTTTGTGTGCAACTGTTGTGTATCTGAAAGCTTTAAAGATAGTTGAGTCAATCCAGGTGCAGTTTAAACTCAACTTCGTCATGTCAGTTATGAATAAAGTCACTTTGTAAGAGTAATCAGACCTTAAAGTGGTTTGGTATTTCACACATTTTTTCTCTTTCGCAGCATTTCATTCTAACCTTGTTTCTTGAATTCTGAAAATATATTTCCTTTAAATGTTTAATTTCCATGGGATTCATTACAACAGAGATTGTCAAATATATAACGTTTTTAAATAGAAATAGCTAAATTAATTTAGTATTATGTGTGTTTGTAGATTTAGTAGTTATTCCCCAAGCATAAGCAGTTCTCTCCCTTGAAGTGCCCCAAATTAAGGGAAATGTGTTTGTTTATTATCTTATGTACTGCTTTGTACATAGCCACATTTTTATTCATATACAACGTTTGATATTCATTGCATTAATGTCAACATGTTGGATTTTTTTCAAAGGATGCAGTTATCTGTTATAGTGGTACCTGCAATAAACCCATTGAAACATGCATTGTTTGCTCTTTTGTGAAACAATCCTCCGACAGTAATAAAAAAAACCTATTGTAACATTGCTGACATGTTAAAAGTAAAAGATATACACTGTAGGATTGTGGAAATACATCCGCCAGTTTAAATGAAACTACACAAGGGATGACTATTGAGGGGGAAACAACTATTGCGATAGTCTATTTGCAACCAGCTTTTGCACTAGTGTTTTTCTCCTTGAATTGTCGCATTTGAAGCCATTTCCCAAATGAATGTATAGTTTATATGAAATAAAAACAAGCTGAAGTAGATCAAGTTTGCTTAAGAGGTAACGGGCGGATAACTCTAAATCAAAGTGAACGAATCTGGTACTTCCTGGACCAAGATTTTCTAAGCTCTCTTAGCACTAAGATAGCCGTAAGTTAATGTATGGCACTTGTGACTATCTAACTTACGACTATCTTTGCGCTAAGAGAGCTTCGAAAATCTAGGCCCTGTATTTTGCGCTGTGCATTTATCAACCGAAGTCAATTACTAAACTATTGATAGTCATTAATTGATGGTAGAAACATGACTATCAGAAACTCAACAACTGCAATCCTTCCATAGTTTGATGCATCGTTACAGCCCTAAACTATGCTGTGTGAGAACACTTCTCTGGAACTTGACAAGAATGTCAATCAGCAACAGCCATGACACGCATAGAGAGTGTATGCTGCTGTAACATGACCAGTGAGATACTACCTTGAGATGGCGATTACTGTCCATTCTGCTGCACTATGGTCATAAGCTACACAGAACAAAAATGCCCAGATCAAACAATCCAACATAAGGATTCAAGACAAAAATGACGATTCCACCTGAATTCTTTACTTTATTCAGTCCAAACTGGACGATCTCAATGTTAGGAATTGTACATAATACAAAATGTACACAAAATTAATGCTTTTACAAAACATACTCTGTACATAAACCATTCACTCATGCATACAGCACATCAAGTATATACATACAATACAACAAATTGCAACAAACACAACTCCAGAATTACATCTTGTACTAAGTACACAAGCTCATTGGATTAATTCAGTAACTGAACAGCAGGTTAAACACACACAAGTAGTTTAACTATTCTGCCTGATCAAACAAAGATGACTATCTGGATTTCTGAGTGAGTGAATGTTGTTTTATGACGCTTTTAGCAATATTCCAGCAATATCACAACAGGTGACACCAGAAATGGGCTTCACACATTGTACCCATGTGGTCTGGATTTCTGAACAACATCTATGTGTTCATTATTCTCCTATTCCCCTGAACAGAATGTAGCACTAGATTTCAATGTCGAGTTCTCTTAAAAGAAGCCATCATTTCTTGAATGCCAAATGTCACAGATAATGGACTTCATATTTTCTCTTCCTTTTTAAGCATATTATATATACATCACAGAGGCTCATAGCATGGCCAGCCCTCAATACTATTGGCGTAAGACTGTTCACTGATCTGAACAAAAATATACCAATTACTAATACAATAAACAAAAATGTTATATTATCTCATCCAGTTATTTCAGAAATCTGATGAGTAAGCAATTGGATGAAACTCAAACCAGAAGTGTCGAGATGGAATCAACATCTCCGATATCAATTCAGCGCATAACTCTGGCAAACACCTTTATGATTACGCGAACAGTGCTGCTTCAATTCTTAGAAAAGACACAACAATGTTACATTATTTACAACCCATTCAACCCTATCACAAATAACCAATTGTCGATGCAACAATAAATAATAATTATCACCAGTTGCCAGGGCTTAAATTATGCTGCTACAAATTGGCACACACATGCATATTTATGCTGACATTTTTCTCGAACACTTCCAGGAGTTAAGGTATCATAGCATGTTATATATACATCGGAGTCCAGTGATGGCCTGATCATGGATTTGGTAATCCTTGTGACTGGAACCCAAGACCAATTCCACGGTGTGTATGTGTGGTCATTCGTGCAAATTCGTATTCTTTATCAAGTCTGTAAAACATCTCCTCTGTTTTCTTCTTCTGTTCCTCAGATTTCTCTTCATCTGAATCCTTCTCTGCTCCTTCCTTCATCCCCATGAGCTTACGGAACTTGGCAGCCATCTTGCCATCATTGTCAGACACAAAAGCTGTCCCCTGCCACTGGCCTTGACCTTCATCCTGAAACCCAACTCGTAGGTCATACACAATATCCAAACCAAAGAAAACCTGCTCAATGTGACTTCATCTTAAGGTCAAATCTCTTCAAGTTAACAGTATTGTACTGACAAATTTATCTCTTGTTTAGATCTGTTTTTATACATCCATAAACTTTAACTATTTATGTGTATTACTGCATTGCTTCCAAATGACATTTAATCTGTTTATCTTTACACAGGATAAACATTTTGGTAAGTATTCTAAATATTAATATCAAAGAGTTTCCATGTGTTATCGGGTATAACTTGTACAATACTGCTGAATTACAATGACACTGCACAACACACTTGCCTCTTTCTTATCCTTATTCTTGCCCCAGAGTAGTTTCCTCTTCTGCACCTGCTCTGCATATTTGAGAGGGTTGACAGCAGCAGGGTTGTAAAACCTTGGCACAGCCACACCTGTGATCTCTTGAGCCTGGACAGCACAATAAGACAAGTTAACACATGAGCAAACTTTGGGTCAACGCCTTCTCAAAACAATTTCAGTCACGTCAGTTAGGGGTGAAACAGTACGCTCTTACCACAATAGGTATGTATTGCAGTACAAGGCCTTTGGTTCCATCTGTTTCGGTTTGGTATATGAGATATGATCATAATGCAGAAAAATTACAAGAGCCAAACATTACATTGTTTAATAACATGGGAAAAACTAACCATCACGTTTGTCATTCTGAAAGAACAAAACTGTCATTTTATGACTAGATACAAATGACAGAACGAAAGCACCAAATGTTTTTATTGCACTATGGTATACCGACCGAATCGAAGGCCAAATACTGCGGTTCTACCAATACCGTAGTATACCGTTTAACCCTAACGGCAATGCAATAAATCCTCCTCTTCCGCTTAGCATACCACTAGACTCAGGAGTGTGTGTTTATGATTGCATGGATTTGGTTTAAACTTTGTTGTAGTGCCAGGGAGTACCCGTCAATGGATAGCACTTTAGAAATCAATTATTATTTATCATTATTATGTCAGGTTGAAGTCTCAGGAAAGTTAACTGATGCAGGTCTGGGAATACCTACATATATCCCTGGATGTATATGAGGGTTCGTACTGCATAAATACAAGTGTGCTAACTGCCCAGTTAAATTAACTCCCATAGTCCTTAAAGCCAACTTTCAATTTCAAGAAGATATATGAAACTGACTTTATAAAAGCCAAATTACCAAACCTGACTGAGCGAGCATGTTAAGATAATAAATTTACACTGATGATATGGTTTCACGACTCAAATTATTAACTGCTATTGGCACGACCATGTTTGTTTCCACTGCACACAACAGTAAACATAAATACCGGGGAAAATGTAAATGAACGGATCATTGGAGGAAAACACTGATAATGACATAGATAGGGGGGGAAAGTGAACCATCTTGAAGCCAGGCACACTCATAAATTAGTTTGAGTACAGGAGGCAAACAAAAGCATTTCTATATCAGTGTATCTTCTCTTGAACAAATTTTCAGCAGGGAAGGAGTGTCATATTTTATCTCCAACTAGTGGTCAGCCACTAAATAATAATAAACAAACAAGATCACTATGCAAACCCTGTTCTCTCTAAAATATGAGCAATGAAGAGTACTTACTTTCTGATGCATGGCAGCCATGGTTTGCAGGAGAGCCATTTGTGGCGTGACGTTGCCACCAGCACTGACTGCAGAAAACACACTGGATGCACTTAGGGGCATGTTGTTCTGGTTGTCAATTGGTATCTCTGAAATGGGATTCATTTTGTTAATTTATGCAACGTCATAAACATGGTTGTGTATGAAAAAACAAAACAAATAGATACATAATACTGTCATAGCAGGAATTAGAAACATGTCATGCCCACTGAGATACACAGTCAAATCACAGTTTTAACACCCACTCAAGCTTCATGGGTGGCGGTGGGGTAGCCTAGTGGTTAAAGAGGAGAGATATGCAGATATGCCAGATCACACCAAACACACGCAGTGGAGGGAGTAGAGTGAGTTTAGATTTCCACCGCTTTTAGCAATATTCCAGCAATATCACGGCGAGGGACATCAGAAATGGGTGTCACACACTACAGCGATATAGGGAATCCGAGGCGAACCTGGGTCTTTGACATGCAGAGTGAACGATTTATCCACTAGGCTACTCATCCCTAAGACTAGTAAGAGGGAGTAGAAAACAGGACAATAAATTATATATACCTTTTTGTTCAGCTCCCTCTCCCTGTTCAGACAGCATCTTGCTGGCCTTCAGCAACTGTTGCCTCATCTGTTCTTTGAAAGTCAGTGGCTTTGACCCTATAGCCCTTGTGATGCATTTCTTGCCCCGTGCGGGGCTTCGAGATCTACTTCGCCTTCGTTCTTTACTTCGGCTTCTCCTTCGCCTTTCCTTGCTCTTATCTCGTCTATCTCGCCTGTGACTGTGGTCACTTGAACGCCTGCGGTGATCTCGTGAGGAACGCTTCTCGCGGGACTGTCTACGTTTGGAACGAGAGCCGCTGCGACGTCTTCGATGTGATCGTGAGGAGCTGTGGTGAGGCCTCTGCAATAACACCATTCATTCAAACTCATGCAAATATCCAGACAATCTGTATTGCCACTACTACCCTTAGAGTAACAAATTCTAAATTGTATGTCATCTACATTATTACTGGTCAAAGGTGCCATAGCTATTTTCATTTCATCTCTTTCTGCTGTTAGATGAACAAACTTGAGGATTCTGAAACTCATACTAGTGAGTCGGGTTTAACATCACTTTGAACAGTATGTCAGCTTTATCACTGCTCGTCCCCTTGATACGAGGGAAAGACTGAAGTGATTCAGGTGTTAGAGATTTACCACTTAACTGTCTTTAGTGAAGAGCGGGTAAGAGTCTGGTTTTATGCCGCTTTTAGGAATATTCCTGGGGACACCAGAAATGGGCTTCACCCATTGTACCCATGTGGGGATTTCAACTTGGGTCTTTGGTATGACGAGCGAAGTTTTGTGACGAACCTCATACAAACACACCACAGTACCAAAAATGCAAAGCATTTGTCAAATGTGAAACTTAATTAATGCACACATAAGAATAAACTGTACCAAAGTTGAATGTTGTATAGATCTCTAATCTACAGATTTAAGCAATACCTCACATAATGCAAGTAAACATAAGACATTAGGTAATATACCTTCCCACGAGACCTTGACCTTCGTTTTCTCTCAGAGGATCTTCGCCTTCCTCTAGATTTGGACCTTGATCTCTTCCTGTCTGATGAACGACGCCTCTTGCGATGAGGTGACCTTGATCTTGACCGGTGAGCTGACCTTGATCTTGACCTGTGAGCTGACCTTGATCTTGATCGATGTCCTGACCTTGATCGCTTATCACGCTTCTCATCCTGCAAAACATGAAGAAAATAGTAAGGAACACTTCATGGCAAGTTGCACTTAAGTTTTCCTAATTACGTCCATAACTGAGACATGGTACAATTTCAAGCAGGAAATAACAAAGAAATTCTAATTCAATAATGAATAAATATGCTTGTGCCCCAAGACATAAACATTACATAAAAACCCTGCGTCAGAGGTAGACACCATCAGCACTTGTACGACTAATACACAGGTCACCTTCTTCAATAAGGAAGAGTTCACAATAAACAGAGTAACTGCTAAAATTACAATAAAAAAATACATAACTTTAACAAAAGTGATCATGTTGAAATTCCCAATTTTTCGAAGCATCCAGTTTTGTGTAATGTAGTAATTTTTTCACCCCTCAAAGTCTGCACAATGATATAAATAAGAACATGTTTTGGTTAGACCATAAATGATACCTCTACAATCCTGACAAGGAAACAAGAAAAATATTTAATCAATGAAATTGTCCTCCTCCTTTCTGGAAAAGTTACACTCTGAAGTCATGTGGAAAAAAGTAGAACCCTCAAAACAAGACAAAAGAACGATATCTGGTTAAAGACACAAAAGATGTAATTCACAGGAGCACCTGGAAATGCTTGTCCATGTCAGGAAACTAGGAGTTCTACCCATTTCACAATAAAAAACCTAGAAAAAAAATCATGAATCACCTGGCTCTCAAAATGAAATCAAAACAAAACACTGACAAATCCATCCCATACCCACTTCACAAGTAAACTCATCTCAAATAAACACATCGCATGGCGCAAATACGACGCTGTCCACCCCTAAACCTCTTGCGGTATTCGCAAGTGAAAAGGGCGGCTATGATACATGTGTAAGAACACCAAACTATTACAAACTATACATACACCTGTTTCATACTCACCAGTCATCAACAAAAAGAGTGTGGCAACAGTTCTGTTGCCACATGGTGCTGACAATCTCCTTTAACAGCGATAGGATCCGCAAAACCTATGTGATATGCAAGCGACAGGTCAGGCTAAGTCCACAATGGATCGAGATATGCTTTACTCATGGTTACACAAGCCTAAACAATCCCTAATTCTGTAACCTTATTCACACAATGCTGTCCTCGAGGGAGAATTACCAAAGGAATGAAAGTGAATTTATGAGGGCACTTGGTGGGGATTGTTTGCTGTAATTCTAAGGCATTTCTTCTCAGAAATTAATTTTCAACTGCTGTGCTTTTATCTTCTTCAGTGCATGGGGAGGAAAATTTCAACAATTACTCTAATAATGGCGAAAAGGATATGTTTTAATGTGATTTATAACTGATCTTCAGTGGAGACAGGACTTTTTTCTCTCACAAAAAAGAAAATGTCCTGTCAAAATTCTGCTGTTTGTGTTACACTGCATTTCAAAAGTGTTCCTAGTCCTTCCACCACTGACGAAGATGAAAACCTGAGACAGCAGTTGAGGTATTGATTTCTGAAAACACTGATCTGTCAGTGACGAGAAAACCCATTCACAGTGACACCGATACCTTTCTCTTTGATGTGGACGAGTCTTTCCTGGGTGATGACTCTCTCTTTGAGGACACTGGTGAAAGTGACTTTTTTCTCTCTTCTTCACTTCTCACTGAATGAAAAACAATTTGCAATTAATACCACTGACAAAACAGACACAAGAATGATGTCAATAATATTTCTTGAAGGTGTAAGATCAATTCAAAGACCTGACCTCAACTTTCAAATGGGTAGATAAACAAAATTGCTGATCGTGTCAACTATTGTGAATAGCCTCAAAAGAACATGGTATATTTTACACTCCTGCAAGCTTGGTACTTGTCCCACGATAAGATCTACAGGGCAAGGATAATGCTGAAGTGATTCAGTTTATTAAATTTAATCTTTCAGACTGTAAACACACAATTCCAACAAGTAAAAAGAACCAGTTTTTACAGCTTTAATGATGTCTATGTCAAGGAACAGTACCTGAGTCTGCAGAGGATGACCTTGAACTTGAGGAGGATGAGGATCGTGATCTGGAATGCTCCGATGACATCGGCGATCCAGATATCTTGGTGAGTATAGGCATCTCATCATCATACTGAGAAGGCAGTATGATGTCTGTCAGCTTGGAAGGATTTGGCGGACTTTTGACAGTAGCTGTCCCTTCATCATCAGGATGGGTCACTGGTTCAGTGGAATTAGTTAATGTGGGTGGGTCAGCATGATTGAAAAACTGAGTTTGGTCCTTTATGTTCGAGAGTGTAGGAGGTTCAGACATATTAGAAAAGAATGATTGTTCAGATGAAATCGACAATTCAGGAGGACCAACAGGCAGAGGTGGTGGAGCTAGTGTGTCTGATGATTCAGTTCCGCTGATCATCTTCTCAAAGGATTCCCATTCCGCTTCCAAGCATGCATCAGACTTAGTTGGCTCAACTTTGGGCAGCATCTGAAATTGAATGATATTCACCTAGAAATTTAATAAAGGAAATGAGAAATTAAATAGATAATCTTCCTAATTAGACTAATTCCTCACATTCTTTTAACATTTTGGTAATTAGTATTTGATAACAAATGAATCTGACGCACAAAGTTTACAAGGGTTAAAGGAGCCTTTCATTGGTCAATGTCATCACTTATATCCCTCGAGACAGTACTTTGCTCTTTTCTGATTGAAGATAAGGCACCATGTGCGATGATGCTCTGGTAAAAATGCATTGATATAGTGTACATGACAAAGATATATTATCCAATAATAATTGTTTACCATTCAGGCACATACTCACAAACCATGGTAGATGACGATCACCGTTTGTTTACCCCCTCTCAAACATCTGGGGCCAACTTATTTGTTCTTCTTGTCTAGTCAAGTTTGACTTGAGGTTAATCAAAAGCAAAAGAGCCAGTTATAACCATTTTTCTTTTTAGCATGTGATTATTGTCACATAAACTAAGTACAGAATCATCAGCGGTCATCTCAGTCTAAGTCATTATGAATAACTCAGGAGGTACACACTGAATGATCAGCTTCCGCTGCAAACTCTCATTGAACATAATCATTTCACATTCGCCTGTATGTAACTTATACATATGTATACTAATCTATATGTATATTTATATATATTATATATATATGTCCACGAAAATGATCAATGGGTTATGTCCGACTACCTGTTGCCGAGATCGTTTTCTCTACGTTGACTAAGGTCAAGGTCATTACACCACCTTCAAACTATTTCTGATGAGCAAATTATTAGTTGGCAAATAATCAATGGCGATGTGAAAATATGGTATATTCGAACTCATACGTGAATTTTCACCGATTACATTTATGAAACCTCTGCACGATACTGCAATCGATTCTAAAATCATAGATATCATTGAAGTCCTCGGAACTATGGAAGGCATTTGGGCAGTGTTTATTTTGACTCGATCATGCACAATTATAAAATAGCAAAATAATTAAATATTTACAAAATTATAATAAACCACCAATATTTGCATTATGTAATCACCTGATCCGTCCTTGTTGGTGTATTCTTGGCACTATCACCATCGTCTGAATAGCTTGCCAAGAGATCCATTTTCGCCAACAAATATGGCGACTTCGTGAATCTTGCAAATAGCCCGGATGTACTAGTACTAAGCCACAGAGAAGCAGTTACAAGTTTAATGGTCTTTACTCGAACAAACATCTAACGCAGATGAATAATTAGATAAATAAGACAAACCTTGGTTTGGGGGTTGGGGTGTTGGGTGTCTCTAAGTGTCTAATATGTTGTGCTTCCATGTGTTGTGTTCTACGTGTTTTACGATGTAACCAGAATTTCCCTAGGGATAAAAAGTTATTATCTATGTCGACACTTCACCGGATTGGCAACTCTTACCAGTTTCGAAACAATGGACTAATTACGTACGAAGGTAATTATAACTTCCCGTCACACCTGTGCTGCAGCTGATTGTAGGATATCCAGGTCTGGTTCAAAGTTCTAATCAGTTTCAGGTGTTCGTGCGGTCACATGAGAGACATACACACTAACATGTGGTCGACCATTTCTCTCCTACAACATCTTTGCGCGTTTTCCACCAGGTATTTTAACCACTTACTGCAAGACTAAATACAGACAAAAAGAAATTGTCAATATTATTTATCTTTCTTATCATATACACATAAATTGTTTGTCAGTTTCTGAATACTACTACTGACTGACTGAGTTTGGTTTTACGCCGCTTTTAGCAATATTCCAGCAACATCACGGCGGGGGACACAAGAAATGGGCTTCACACATTGTACCCATGTGGGGATTCGAACCCGGGTCTTCGGCGTGACGAGCGTACGCTTTAACCACTAGGCTACCCCACCGCCCCTCCTACTACTAATAAGAGTTACCCATGTTATATTTGGGATTACACTTTTTCAGTAAAGTACAAATTCTAGTACTTTTGTTGGGTTGAGTCCCATCCGGGATTCGAACCCACACCCTCAGAGTCAGGCACCTAATCGCCAGCACACAAAATAAGCCGCCTAACCCGCTCAGCCGAGATGGCTGAGGGTGTGGGTTCGAGGGACTCAACCGAACAAAAGTTCTAGAATTTGTACTTTACTAAGAAAGTGTAATCCCAAGTATAACATATATTACATTTGACCACTTTCTAAATGGCACTGTGTATTAATAACAATAGTTGTTTGTCGTAGAAAACCCCCCTTTGTCCTGAAAGTTTATTTAATGACCCATGAAAACGGGTGAAAATGAAGTGTGCACCCCTCCTTTACTCAAGAGTGTGCATCCCCGCTTTCTCAAACAGCTGTATCCGCCCCTGACCTGTTGTACATGATCCAACAAAACCAGCTTGACATGTTATAGCGTGTCCAGAATGCGGCAGCCAGGCTTTTGACACACACGTCAAAATATGAACACATAACATCCTTTCTAAAGAGGCTCCATTGACTAGCTATCAAGCAACAGATCAATTACAAGCTCCCGACCTCTGTCTTCAAGTCACTGCAACAAACGGATCAAGTCTATCTGCAAACTCAAATTTCTTTGCACGTCCCCAAAAGATGTTTCCGTTCATTCTCATCATATGCAGCTCGGTGTTCCCAAAACAACAACAAAAAAAGATCCCAAAACAACAACATTTGGTGATAGAGCTTTTGAGAAAGCAGTGAAATGGGTAGTCTGTCTCACAGTCCCTGAACCACATTAATTTCCCTACTGCCAAGCCCTCTCTGCAGTGCTAAAGCCCTAAATGAAGCAAGGCTAGATTTCCTCAGGTTCAATCTCTAGTCTCCCTAGGGCTCCTTTTCAATATAAATGGGCTTGTTTGTTACTATCAAAATTATATATATTCAGAGACTAAGCCTTAGTCTATGAAATGGGGTGTGTTGGTTTTTAGTGTGTTTGTTAAACACCAATCTAATATTGAATATAGAACAAACACGACCAGGTATCAGACCCTGGTAGTGTACAATGTGTGAAGCCCATTTCTGGTGTCCTCCGCCGTGATATTGCTGGAATATTGATGAAAGCGGCGTAAAACTCACGGAAATATCTCATTGGCTTGACTTCCCTTCTTGCCACTTAAATAAATACATTTGTGTAATTTGCATGCATTTTAAACATATTTTATCTAAAGGCAATTTGAAAGTGAATTAGCTGTCTTTACAAGATGAGTAAGTTCTGTTTTCCTGGACTGGGTTTACACGTGTAGGTAACTCATTTTTTAGCACCACTTGTCAATGTTCATTGCATTGGTCACTAAGCGGATTCGTCCTGTGCTTTCAAAGTCACGGCTCAGTCTCCAAGTACATGTAATGATTTATAAGCTCAAAGCAAAAAGGGCACAAAACCCGGAAAAGAATTATTACAAACATTTTAAAAATATGTGTTCAAATGAAAACGGGCATCTCTTTCATCACACATTTTGTCGAGGCGCATCCCATACTATAAAATACATACACAGTGGATATCATAGGATAAAGAAATATCTAATTTTATTGTCAATTTATTAGCACACCAACTTTGACAGTTTGAGACACATTGGGTTTTGATTCATACCACAATAAACTGAAAACGTACACAGTCACTCATTAATTGAATTTCCAATTTTGCATTACTGCAAATTGTCCACAATAACACTGCACTTCCTTTTTATTATAATTTTCTGATTTGATCTGGGGTTCAAGATTTTCGGTGCTGGTCGCGTCGTCTCTGTGGGAGGTAATAAAAAAAACATCTTCTTGTTCGCCTAAGGTTGATAGAAATTAAAAAGGATATGTATGGAAATTACTAATATAGCAAGAGTTATATTTAGATCAAAACACGTGTGGATGGTCGAGCACCTGTAAATATGGCTAAATCTGAGGCTTTAATCGCTCAAAAGACAGAGACTGTCAAGAAATCTTTACATAATATTCCCAGGGGACAACCTAAGTCTGGTAGAGCATGGAAAACACCACGACCAGCCAGGTAATAGTCCCGTTAATCGAACCTACTCGCAAATTTCATAACCCTTTCGACTTCATATGTTTGAAAGGTTTATGGTAATATTTTGCCTTTTTGTTGCATCTTTCTGGTTCATTGTGATAATCATCCACAGAAGAAAGACCCATCTACTGTTCTTTCTGTTCGTTCCATGGCAATCTCAGGTGACCGTATTATCAGTTTTGTTCATTCAACGTCAGGGACCGTTCATACTTTATCATGTTTATCAGAGACCATATACCGGTCGGTCTCTGTGTTTATGGAGGTGATGATGATTTTATGGAGAAACAATGTGAATGGACCCCCAAATTTATGTAGAAAGTAAGTGACCCATGTCATGTACAAAATCAATGACCCTTTCAATAATTTTAAGCAAAATCAATGACCCTTTTTAAGCAATTTTTATGTATTTTTATGTACAAAATTGCTGAACCCCCCCTACCTCCCCAGTACAAAATGGGTGACCCCTCCCTAAAATCATCACCCCCTAGGCATAAATTATGAACGGTCCCTCGGTATTTAACAGTTAGATCAGTATCTGAAGTGACGGAAATTGTTTTTCAGACATTCAGAGATAAAAAAGGTGAAGTCCTTGAAATCATCATGGAGTAAAAAAATGGCAGATAAGGCGGAGAAAAAATCCATCAAAGAGTTCCAGAACAGACTGAAGGAGGCCAGAAATGAGGAACTTGAGGTATTTCTGAAGACAGAAAATATGTGACATGATATACATATGCTTCTTTGATTGACTCTTAGACTTGCACAAGTCTCTAAGGTATTAATTGATAGTTTAAGTGATAATTTCTAAAAGAATATTAATAGAATCAACACATTGTCCCTCTAACAGACTGGCGTCCTTGTACTGACCGCTTATCTTGATTTGCCTCTTTAAAGCACAGAATTACTATACAATATAATACATCCATGGGCTTAGCATTCAGTACAACCTTGGAGCAAGGCTAAAAGACCGTCTGTGATGTACATCCTGTGATATACATTCATTATCTATGTCCCTGTGGTATACGCCCCTGTGATAAGTGTAAAATGAATGCCCATTCATATTATTTTGGCAGAAATGAATGTATTGCTTGATTATTACATAAGAACTATAGAGCGCCTGCCTGGAGAGCGGAAGGTCGCGGGTTCGATCCCCAACCGCATCATACCAAAAGACGTTAAAATATGGTACTTGTTGGTCCCTGCCTGCCTCGGCATTCATGGGTACAACCAGGACTGGTCGGCTTGGAGTCAGTATAATGTGTCTGAGTGGGGTATTCATGCTTCACTGCGGCATGGTATCTCAGTGGGCTAGCACTATAAAACCAGCTTCAGTCTGGGCTAGTACAAGCAGCCGCACATACACATACACACGCATGCACGTCGTCATATGAGTAAAATATTCTCAAGCATGACGTTAAACCCAATTTCACCTCACCTAACATAAGAACTAAATAAAAGCACTCTTGTCTGACTTTTCAGAGGAAACGTAAACGGGCTGAGGCGAACCAGAAGAGACGGGAGATGAATGCTCTGAAATCTGAAGTAGTGCAAACTGTGAGTTGTGATGTGTTTACCTTCGGGGTGTCTGAATACACTAACGGCCTTGAACCCCAATGGGTTTGGTTTGGTTTGGTTGTTGTTTAATGCCGCAATCAGCAATATTCCAGCTCTGTGGCGGCGGTCTGTAAATAATCGAGTCTGGACCAGACAATCCAGTGATCAACAGCATGAGCATCGATCTGCACAATTGAGATACAATGACGTGTCAACCAAGTTGGCGAGCTTGACAACCCGATCCTGTTAGTCGCCTCTCACAACAAGCATGGGTTGCTGAAGACCAATTCTAACCCGGTTCTTCACAAGTCGACCCCCAAGAGGATTCTGGGCTAGAAGTGTTGCCTAGCAACCTATGCTGGTTGTAAGAGATGACTGAATTGGTTGGGTAGTCTGATGGTTGATGGGGTGTTGTCATACCCTGATGGCCAGGATTGTTGTCTCAAAATCACTGGGTTATCAGGTCCAGACTCCATTATTTGCAGGCTACCATCATATACCTGGAAAGATTTCCATGCAGCATTAAAACAACAACAACAATAACAACAACAAAGATGTGGGCTGCCAAGAATTGTGCAGTGTTAAGTCTATTAAGTGTGTCATAAATCTGTAAGTGAGTGAGTTTAGTTTTACGCCGCACTAAGCAATATTCCAGCTATATGGAAGTGGTCATTATGGAGTGCTGACAGGGCAAAACGGGATTCTAACCCATTACTAGATGCTCATGCTGTTGATCGCTGGATTGTCTGGTAAGAGGCGACTAACGGGGTCGGGTGGTGACACATGTCATCGTATCTCCATTGTGTAGAACGATACTCATGCTGTTGACCACTGGATTGTCTGGTCCAGATTCGATTATTTACAGACTGCCGCCATATAGCTGGAATATTGCTGAGTGCGGCGTAACACTAAATCTTTGATAGATTTTTTTCTTTTTGGGGGGATACTCCCCAATATCAGGGTGCAATGACCAACCTGACCTAACAGAAACCTTGAAATATGGTAAAACCAGATAACCATGCCATATTCTTGTTCTGGACCAACATTGTTTGTTATAAGTAGGATATTTGCCATCCATCATTTATCATTAGTAAAATCTTTCCTCTTTCACTTTTTACAGATTAAAAGCACAGCAAAAATAAAGAGAATGAAGAAAAAACAACTCCGAACATTGGCCAAGAGATGAAATATGTTTATAAAATGATGAGTTTGCTACCATGGTAACAGACTTGTAGGAAATACCTGACTTCCTCAATCTGAAGTTTTCTATATCCAATATGGGATGCCATTATTTTTTTAAGTTGCCATGTATTTAATTAGTGCATAGTTATGAAAGTAGACATTTCACAGCATTCAAAATATTTTTGCAGAATTTTTGGAGGCACTCATATTTTCAAGATATTTAAGCAGGACCAGGTTTGTTCCTTATATCACCAGTTGCTTTCCCCCAAAAGAACTTTAGTTAGTAGTGAACAAATAAATATAATTTTACAATAGGTAATTAATATTTTGTATACATGTCCAAATATTTTTGAAGAAAGAGGTATTCTTCCTGATCATGTGAAATGGTTGCTGAGCATGTGGGATACAATTCTGTAGTCAAAACATAAATATAGTTGTGTGTATAACTCTGTGTGTGTGTGTGTGTGTGTGTGTGTGTGAGAGAGAGAGAGAATGAGAGGGAGGGAGGAGAGAGTGAGAGAGACTCATACATGCACTGACGGATATTATTAAAGATGTTGATGGCAGTTCTATAAAACAAGTAATGAATAGTATGTGGTTTAAACATACATTGAAATTACAAGTGTAGTAAGGCAACCAGTTGAATTCCTCGCATCATCAATTGAAAAACTCCATGTCACCACAAGTTGAAGCTAAGGCTTGGCTGTGAGTACTACTCATTCAGCTTTGATAATTCATAGTTGTTTAGCATATGGTTTATGTCATGTGAACATTGTTTTTGAGATGTTTTGTATATATACTGAATGAAGTATATTCCAACATCAAAGATGTGTGTTGTGTTTATTTGAGATGTGGACATGAGGGAGAATACAGGAAAGTGCTTTATCAGTAGCCAGCAAAATCTGAACGAAGCATTAGTCAACAACCTTGGAGAATGTAACTGAAAGATTTAATTGTTCCGGTTTGTGATCCACATTTTTATGCCCTGGCCAGGGGTCAAGGGAGGTAACTCCAAGAGAGTGGGAGCTGCGGTTAGCCATGTGCTTCACTGTGGTGAAGATGATATTGACAGTGTGTGTTATCACACTATTAGAAGCGTTGGGGTAGCCTAGTGGTTAAAGGGTTTGCTCGTTACGCCAAAGGTCCGGGTTCGATTCCCCACATGGGTACTCATTCACTCACTGTCACACCGTGGTCACACCCCTGTGAAGGTCTGAGTTGGTTTCTTCAGCTACCATGCTTATTGTAAGAATGAATCAATGGAAACAGTTAGCGTGTTTGTTGACTTAGTTGACACATACATGTTGTCATTATGTCACATGTCATTTTCTTCCTCCTCCTCCCAGGGGCGGTGGGGTAGCCTAGTGGTTAAAGCGTTCGCTCGTTATGCCGAAGGGCCAGGTTCGATTCCCCACATGGGCACAATGTGTGAAGCCCATTTCTGGTGTCCCCCGCCGTGATATTGCTGGAATATTGCTAAAAGCGGAGTAAAACCATACTCACTCACTCACTCACTCCTCCTCCCCTTCTCTCCTCCCTCCTTTCTCCTGTAACGCCTATATCATGGGAGCCATGCATTACTCTGAGTATAATATTATTTTGTATCTTTATGTCAGATTGTTCATACACACAGCATGTAACACCTCTCCAGAGTCCTGGAGGGGGCGGTGGGGTAGCCTAGTGGTTAAAGCGTTCGCTTTTCATCACGCTGAAGACCCAGGTTCGATTCAGCGTCATGGGTAGCATTGGCAGTTCTAGAGGGGGGGTTCAGGGGTTTTGATTTGTGACTCAATTGCATTGTACTAGAAATCTGTATTGTGATTCATTGTAGCTTGCTCATTGTTTGCTCAAAATATTATTGAATATTTTAGACTTGTCTGTGTTATATTTTGCTGGTTCAAAGGGGATTCTTAAACCTTTTGTCATGGCAATTATTTAACCATAACATCAGTAATATCTCAGCTGTATCACGGCCACGTGTATGTAGTCAGCAATATCTCAGCTGTATCACGGCAACATGTATGTAGTCAGCAATATCCTAGCTGTATCACGGCAACGTGTATGTAGACAGCAATATCCCTACTGTATCACGGCAACATGTATGTAGACAGCAATATCTCAGCTGTATCAAAGCAACGTGTATGTAGTCAGCAATATCCCAGCTGTATCACGGCAACATGTATGTAGTCGGCAATATCCCAGCTGTATCACGGCAACATGTATGTAGTCAGCAACATCCCAGCTGTATCACAGCAACGTGTATGTAGTCAGCAATATCCCAGCTGTATCACGGCAGCGTGTATGTAGTCAGCAATATCCCAGCTGTATCCCACGGCAGCGTGTATGTAGTCAGCAACATCCCCAGCTGTATCACGGCAACATCCCAGCTGTATCACGGCAACGCAATGTATGTAGTCAGCAATATCCCAGCTGTATCACGGCAACGTGTATGTAGTCAGCAATATCCCAGCTGTATCACGGCAACGTGTATGTAGTCAGCAATATCCCAGCTGTATCACGGCAACGTGTGTGTAGTCAGCAATATCCCAGCTGTATCACGGCAACGTGTGTGTAGTCAGCAATACCCAGACTGTATCACGGCAACGTGTATGTAGTCAGCAACATGCCAGCTGTATCACGGCAACGTGTGTGTAGTCAGCAATATCCCAGCTGTATCACGGCAACGTGTGTAGTCAGCAATATCCCAGCTGTATCACGGCAACGTGTATGTAGGCAGCAATATCCCAGCTGAATCACTTCAGCAACAAGCAAGCTATATAGTCACACGGAGAATGTACGTTATATGGAATTGTGAATGTGTGGACTAGGGGCGGTGGGGTAGCCTTGTGGTTAAAGCGTCTTTGGCGTTAAGCTGAAGACCAGGGTTTGATTCCCCACAAGGGTACAATGTGTGAAGCACATTTCCGCTGTCTCCCCAGCATGATATTGCTGGAATATTGCTAAAAGCGGCGTAAAACTAAACTCACTCACTCAATGTGTGGACGTACAACGTACCATAATCCTGAGGTGAAGTGTGTTTCAAATATTTCAGACAGTGTAACGAATGGGAAATAACTCTACCAGTTAGCATTGTCGGCTAAGGGAAACGTGATGATTATGATGGTGATTAAAATTGTGGAGATGATGATTATGGTGGTGGCGGTAACGGTGACGATAATGATGGCGGTGTTCAAGTTCATCTCTCGTGCTGTCGTTGACTGGGCAACCGTCTACCTGAACCAGAAAAAAGCAAAACTGACTTCACGAACCATCAGTATATGGAAACAGTTTAGTTCTGTCCTTGTCGAGTTTTTCGCCGTAACAATGCCGGTTAGTATCTAAGCCCATTCACATCATTCCCAGACGAGCCGAACAGAGGCGTTTACGGAAAGTTCCGAGATGTGGCGAATGCTCGGCATGTGTCGGGAACTTAAACAGGAAACAATTTGACCATGCAATGACGGAAACAACGTTCGGTTATTTCCTGAAAATATTGACTTTTCTTGAAAACAATGAGTATCGGAATTAACGAGGAAAGGTAAATAAGGCATGGTCTGATATTAGTTAAAATGGGCGTTTCTGACAATTCTCGTTAGTCATTCCCGTCGGTTTTGTTTCTGCAAAAGGCAATGATGACTCGGACTGGGTGGTTTTACATGTTTACGGTAGCCTCTGCTTTGAGTACATCCTCATTTGTGCAGTGCGTTATATCTCCATTCTCTCTTGGTTTGGCTTGGTTTTTCGCACAGTCAGCAATATTCCAGCAATATGACAGCGATTTATAAATAATCGAGTCTGGACCAGACAATCAAGTGATCAATAGCATGAGCATCGATCTACACAGTTCGTATACGATTAGGAGCGATGGGGTAGCCTAGTGGTTACAGCGTTCGCTCGTCACGCTGAAGACCTATGTTCGAGTCCCCACATGGGCGTAAAACTAAACTCACTCACTCGTATATGATTATATGTGTCAACCAAGCCAGTGAGCCTGACCACCCGATCCCGTTAGGCTTCTCTCACAACAAGTGACAAGCATGGGTAATTGCTGAAGATCGGATCTTCACGGGTTCAGTGTTTTCAGTAGCTTAGCCCCGATTCCATGCACAAAGCGGTGGCTTTAAATTTTATCTCACTCACTCATTCACTCGCACACAGAGTTGCAATTTACAATTATATTTATGTTTTGACTACAGACTTTTATCCCACTTGTTCAGCAACAATTCCACACGATCAGGAAGAATACCTCTTTCTTCAAAAATATCTGGACTTGTTTACAAAATATTAATTATTTAACACACTAAAAACATAATCCAAACAGTATAGCTTGGCGTTTATGGTTAAAATGTCCGTGAAACTATTCATTCATATTATCGAAAAGGATATTAAACAACTCACACTTTGATAATTATGAGCCATACTTCATCACATGGACCACGATACACGTGTGGTATATGAATTATTCAAGTCGACAGGTATATATTGCCATATCACATCACCAGATGCCGATAGTGACGACACTGAAGCAGCTCGAGCGATCATATCTCTGCTGAACACCACGTTTCTGAGCTCGGTTTACCGACTCAGGTGGAGATAGAAGTTAGGATCAGTTTCATTTCCTTCCATGCACCGTTTCATTTTGTATCGAGGGAAATGGAGTAATATTCTCTTCCAGACAAATGAGATTTTATTCATCGTGGTCCTGAAATATCACTAGAGGGCGTCAAACACTCCTCTCCTGAATCCCAAACCCATTTGCCTCAAGTTCTCCTCAAGCAGGGTATGAATTTCCGGGTCAGGGTCTCCTTTTCAATTTTAATGAATTTCTTTGTTTCCACAATAATTATATACTTTTGGAGACTAAAACGTTAGTGTGAGTGAGTGAGTGAATGTGTGTGTTTGTGTGTATGTGTTCGTTCGTTCGCGTGTACGTGCGTGCATGCGTGCGTTCGTCTGTGTGGTGTGTTTTAAATGTTTAATCCAAGCATCGGAAATACGGCATTACTTGTGTTATATATTCCCGAATCCGAATTCCAAACAGAACCCCGTACAATGAGGTTTGCTGCCTCACTATAGCGCTCAGGAATGATTATTATCGACATTTGAAGAATACACTACACAGGAGCGTCCCACTCCAGATATTAACGACTATGGCGTATTGAATGACTGCTAAAACAACATTTAATACACTCCGGTACGATCGAAAAACGCAAACTAATAGGGATGGCTATTGAGGGGAAACAACTATTGCGATAGCGATAGTCTATTGCAACGTACTATTGCGATAGCGATAGTCTATTGCAATATACTATTGCGATAGCGATAGTCTATGCGACCCACTATTACAATACTATTGCAATAGTTTTTTTCTCCTTGAATTGTCTCATTTGAAGTCATATCCCAAATGAATATATAGTTCATATGAAATAAAAACAAGGTGAAATAGTTTCAGTCTCTTTTAATGAGTGACAAGAAACTTGAAACCCAGATGAAGTAAACAGTTAAAACATAAACTCAATGAAGCTGCAAGTTTGCACCCAAACATGCTGTATTTTTCGCTGCGCATTTATCAACGGAAGTCAATTACTAAACTATCGATAGCCACACATACTATCGATGGATCGATAGTTTTTCGTTTCTACCATCGATTAATTACTATCGGAGACTCAACAATTGCAATGCATCGATAGTTCGATGCATTGTTACAGCCCTACAATTTCAACATTGTCCTGGTCAAAATGACACAGTCCATGTCTGTACCATACAACCTGACTCTGTACATACAAGACATACAATAAGATATTATAGCAGGTGTTACACGACGGAAATTACATATTCTCTTTACAATATATATATGAACGGTGATGCAGGCGACAACCATCTCGGTGACAGCGTGGTTCTCAGAGCTGACGTTCGTACAACTATCCTTGCGTTAGTAAGGAGGACGGTCGACCCCTTGTTAATTATGGCATGCTATGTCAGAGACTTGTTAGACACATGATAAGGGATACCAACAGGTGCAGGGGATTGTCAATGGAAGGAAAAGGGCTGTCAGAGTCTTAATGGAACTGGTGTTTAAGTACACAATACGTCGTTTAGGAAAAGTGGGACATCCTTAAGGGAAAAGTGGGACATCGTTTAGGGAAAAGTGGGACATCGTTTAGGGAAAAGTGGGACATCGTTTAGGGAACAGTTGGACATCGTTTGGGGAAATGTCGGACATCGTTTAGGGAAACGTCGGACATCGTTAATGGAAAAGTGGGACATCGTTTAGGGAAAAGTGGGACATCGTTATGGGAAAAGTCGGACATCGTTAAGGGCAAAGTGGGACATCGTTTAGGGAAAAGTCGGACATCGTTAAGGGAAAAGTCAGACATCGTTTAGGGCAAAGTGGGACATCGTTTAGGGAAAAGTGGGACATCGTTTAGGGAAAAGTGGGACATCGTTTAGGGAAAAGTTGGACATCGTAAAGGGAAAAGTCGGACATCGTTAAGGGAAAAGTCAGACATCGTTTAGGGCAAAGTGGGACATCGTTTAGGGAAAAGTCAGACATCGTTTAGGGAAAAGTGGGACATCGTTTAGGGAAAAGTGGGACATCGTTAAGGGAAAAGTCGGACATCGTTAAGGGAAAAGTCAGACATCGTTTAGGGAAAAGTCAGACATCGTTTAGGGAAAAGTCACACATCGTTTAGGGAAAAGTGGGACATCGTTTAGGGAAAAGTGGGACATCGTTAAGGGAAAAGTCGGACATCGTTAAGGGAAAAGTCAGACATCGTTAAGGGAACAGTCAGACATCGTTAAGGGAAAAGTCAGACATCGTTTAGGGAAAAGTCAGACATCGTTAAGGGAAAAGTCAGACATCGTTAAGGGAAAAGTCAGACATCGTTTAGGGAAAAGTCAGACATCGTTAAGGGAAAAGTGGGACATCGTTTAGGGAAAAGACAGACATCATTAAGGGAAAGTTGGACATAGTTTGGGGAAATGTCGGACATCGTTTAGGGAAACGTCGGACATCCTTAAGGGAAAAGTGGGACATCGTTTAGGGAACAGTTGGACATCGTTTAGGGAAAAGTGGGACATCGTTAAGGGAAAAGTCGGACATCGTTTAGGGAAAAGTCAGACATCGTTTAGGGAAAAGTCAGACATCGTTAAGGGAAAAGTCAGACATCGTTTAGGGAAAAGTCAGACATCGTTTTGGGAAAAGTGGGACATCGTTAAGGGAAAAGTCAGACATCGTTTAGGGAAAAGTCAGACATCGTTTTGGGAAAAGTGGGACATCGTTTAGGGAAAAGTCAGACATCGTTTAGGGAAAAGTCGGACATCGTTAAGGGAAAAGTCGGACATCGTTAAGGGAAACGTCAGACATCGTTAAGGGAAAGTCGGACATCGTTAAGGGAAACGTCAGACATCGTTTAGAGAAATGTCGGACATCGTTTAGAGAAACGTCAGACATCGTTTAGGGAAAAGTGGGACATCGTTAAGGGAAAAGTCGGACATCGTTTAGGGAAAAGTCGGACATCGTTTAGGGAAAAATGGGACATCGTTAAGGAAAAAGTCGGACATCATTAAGGGAAAAGTTGGACATCGTTTAGGGAAATGTCGGACATGATTTAGGGAAAAGTTGGACATCGTTAAGGGAAAAGTGGGACATCGTTTAAGGAAAAGTCAGACATCGTTAAGGGAAAAGTAGCACATCGTTTAGGGAAGAGTCGGACATCGCTTATGGAAAAGTCGCACATCGTTTAGGGAAAAGTCGCACATCGTTTAGGGAAAGCTCGCACATCGTTTAGGGAAAAGTAGCACATCGTTTAGGGAAGAGTCTGACATCGTTTATGGAAAAGTCGCACATCGTTTAGGGAAAAGTGGCACATCGTTTAGGGAAAAGTCGCACATCGTTTATGGAAAAGTCGGACATCATTTATGGAAAAGTCGGTCATCGTTTAGGGAAAAGTCGGACATCATTTAGGGAAAACTAAACGTTATGGAAAAGAGTCAGTTCTGTGATGTCGTATTTCCTTACTATTCTAGAATTAAATCAATGGACTTCGATGAAACGTGGATAACAAGAAGTACGTTACAGGCTAAAAGTGGCTACTGTATGAGATACCCGACCCCTCTGTCTGCCCATATAGCAAATGAAAGCGTGGCCTTGCACCCAGCACGGCTGATGGGTGAGTGAGTTTAGTTTTAGGTCGCTTTCAGCAATATTCCAGCGATATAACGACAGGGGATAACCGTCCCCCAATATCCATAGGATCACATAATGCTGGGACCCCGCCAGTCACAATACATACCATTTTGCTAGATATTTGCGTTACAAGCCCCTGTGAGCTGACCAGTTCCCGAATGTTGGAATGTCAATCCAAGTAATAGTAGGTGATGAGAGCCCTAGTACCCCAAGCCCGAACCTGAAGATCCAAATTGGGACTTAGAAATTTAATTACAGACGGTTTGGTGGTGGACATGCACATCGAGTTTCATAAGGAATGTCACCGTGACCCAGCTTGGATTGTAGCTCATGCTATCAACCACTAGTTGAGCTAGTCCAGATTCTAGGACTTCCCTTTCGTCACTATCCCTTGCGTAAGACAATTTCCCAAAAATAAAATATATGTCTGCCTGTCTGTCTGTCCGTTCCTTCGTTTAAACATAAAATAGCAAGTGCCCTTAAACAATTCAATCAAAATGCCTCTCTTAAACAAACGGGCCAATGGGTTAGCTTGTGGTTAAAGCATTCGCTCGTCACGCCGAAGACCCGGGTCCAATTTCCCACATGGGCACAATGTGTGAAGTCCATTTCTGGTGTCCCCCGTCTAGATATTGCTGGAATATTGCTATAAAAAGTTTAAAAACTCTCTCACTTTCTCTTAAACAAAAACACTACATATCCAGCTGATAATCAGCATCTAATCCGCCTTGCCATCTGAGTATTAGGATAATCCTCGAATAAAAAATAACGAAACCCAAAACATATTTGAAAGTTGTAAGGGTCTCTTGTTTCTTAAATCTCGAGCATCAACGCACGTCAAAACATATCGGCTTATCTAGGATCGAACAGGGCCATATTCGTGACTTTGTTTGTGCGAACAATATCTCCATACATTATGCTGATATATATATCAACACATGACACGAGAGAGTTAGTTACAGGTTGTCATAGCGACCCCAGTGCGGTCAATTTCGTTTGTCAACGACTTTCTGGAGTGAGGGACGAAATCTTGGTAATTTGGTGCTTGCTAAAAGGAGGAAAATTGTCACAAAAGGTAGGGTCAATCACTGGTCATTCAGGACATCAATTTATTTAGCTTTTTCAATTTTTACCATGAAGTTGTTTGTTGACAGTTTCAAAATCTTGTTATATTCGGACCTACCGTCGAGCTATAGCTCATGCATATGTACACCGGGGTGCCTCTTTCAACGAAGCGGTTTTAGCTCCACGGTGTCAAAGTTTGGGTGTCAAGGTCACCTTGGCGCGAAATCATTTTGTAGAACAAGGCCCTGATAAATAGTTGAGCAACTTTTAGTTCGTTTTATAAAGATAATCATTGT